TTGAGCACAAAATCCATGCTAGAGCATGATAACAGTTTCATGAATACAGGCCCTGGAGGTTATAGACAGAAAAAAGAGCTCCTAATGACGTTCAAATGTGAGGAAATTATAATCAGTTTTGTCCCAACCATGACCAAAGAAGGGTAGGACTCTTTTAGTTCTAGAGAGATTAAAAAAGAAAACTGAGGACGTCGAAGGAAGACCGTGGAAAAATTTGGACAAGAAAATCATGGTCATCAACATACTTATAACGAGAAAAGAACAAAAGGGACACGAAAAAGGGGAATTTAATTTTTTAGTGTAAATAGAAAATCCGTTTAATTAAAGTGTTCGATAGTCAGAATTATCAAATTAACGAGATGAGAGAAATTGAAACAACCTACCACATGTTCACAATGCTAATAGTCCTCGGCAATTGGTTTTCCCGTAAAAAGGTGCCCCGCTCTTCCGTCACCAGTTAAAATGATTTTGCTTGCTGATTTGGATCATCGTAAACAGGACTCAGTAGTTAGATATACACTGAGGTACTAACTCACGAGGACAATGTCGTTTTACGTCCACGGTACTAAGAACTTCAAAAGAGACAGAGACAATTGTAGATATAGCTAGATCTAGTTGACCAGTAGAGTAACAAAGAGATAACAATTGTAGATATAGCTAGATCTAGTTGACCAGTAGAGTAACAAAGAGCTATACAATTCGAAGCAGTACATATAGACACATCTGAATAAGAGACACGTATTCGGTAAATGCTGGACTATGAAGACTGCGGACAACTTGTATATGGCAAGTAAGATCTCATCGTGATTTTTTGTTATTTCCTTGTGGGATAACAATATAATGTGCTTAAAATATCACTTTTGCCAGAATGATAAAGTTTTATATATCATTTTCATTTCTTTTTTATATGTTTTTTAATAATTTGTCTTACCTTTGGGTTTATATAAGTTTTCCTAGCTTATAATGTTTTATACTTTTCCCCTATATGAATTTTTTCAGGTGTATTTTCCTTCTTCCGAGAATATTATGGTTGCCAGCATGTATCTGCCGCAACTAGTTGACGCATAACAATAAGTGTATAAGAAAACTTACCATTTAGATGGCGTTCTGTTATATTACGTGTCTTTGTTGGTTGACGGTTCGGTACAATTTGGCCTGGTGCGCTAAGATGCAGTACCTTTTGTCCTTATGTATAATAGCATACATTAAATAACATTGTAATAAATACAGCCGTGAAACATCCATCCATCCAATCAAAACATGTTATCGAAAATATTTAGTCACGTGTATTTTGCTAACATTTTCACAGATCAGAATAATACGGTCGTATAATTAACACTGGTATAATAAGCGATACATTCGTTTACCATGAACACCATCCTCGATACTCCAGAGTTTAGGCTCATTTACACTCCCTGCAATATGTCATAGCAAAATCGAAGGTTCAGAGTGCCCCACCTTGTGGATAAGACGATAAGACTAGTTTCGTCCTTTAATGTACATCAAAAGAATCGCACGATCGCGTTACTGTCGAATTGGCTGTCTTTGAAGTCGAGTGTCGCTCCTTTGTAATCTTCAAATGACAGACCTGTATCAGCCTTGCGATTGGTCATATTTTGTACCTGAGACCAATTATATAGCTAGCCGCTTGCCTTCAAATTCGCTACTGCGTATTGCAGGTGTGCAGAGAGCGTAAGTGAGTGTAACCCCTGGAGCATCGAGGGTGCAAGAACATTTAAAATCTTGTTGTAAAAATACATGCATACGTTGATGAAAAAAAATACATAAAGATGTACAAAGATCATAAACCCTTTTATGAAAAACGTGCACACACAGCTCTGAATATTTACACAAAGTTATACCTGGGACTGTCGAGCTCTTGTGGCAGACACTTCTGAAGATGCAACCATTTTTGCCTATAGATGTTTTATCGACCAATTCGAATGCCATCAAAGGAAGGGTTTAGATTCAGAAATCGATAAGGTGTTGACAATGCTAAAACTGGCGATATCACTTGTTACTTTCGGATAAGAATAACAAAACTCAGTCTACACAAATATTTCTGTATTTTCAAAATCCTTAGATCAGTATAAAATATTTAGATGCCAGAACATATTTGTCTATTTGAAGCCCAGGGAATTCCAAAATCCAATTCTTTATTCGTGCTTATATTTGCAGTAAACCAGGAATGCTATCTAGAGAAGTCTAAGCGTTCTCTGAATATCTCACGTAAGCAATACCTATTGATATTTTGCCTTAAATTCACATAATCAAACTTCATAGTTTTTAATGAATGAATAAAATGATGTTTTGATGACTTTTTTGGAGAACCTTTTCCATGATAACAGCCAACCTAATTCAGATACCACTTCTTGTCAGTGAACTTGAACTTCTTTCGATTCCGCTTCTTGTATGTGACCTTGAACTTCTTTCGATGCCGCTTGTTGTCTGTGACCATGAACTTCTTTCAATACCGCTTCCTGTCCGTCAACTTGAACTTCTTTCGATACCTTTTCTCGTCCGTGACCTTGAACTTCTCAAGGAAATATCTCCTTTTTCTTTCCCCCTCAAAGCACTGCATCGAAGACACGACCCGTTAGACACAGATTTGTCAGATGATATGACCTTTAACAATATTAAAGGAGCCTGGATATATTCCTAACACAATAATTGCAAAATAGATTGCAGTTGTAGAAAGATCATATAGGTGGTTTTTTTTAGTTTTGATACATTGAATATTACAGGGGTAATTCATTGTTCAAATATATCACTCATGGTAACCGCACGCTACTGCACACTGGTACCAGACACCTGGAGTGTATATATGTATCTATACACATCACATGCACGTGTTTTTTATAGGATGGTGACCTTTATTCTACAACAATGTTTAACAAATGTGTGCCTGCTTGTTAGCTTTGTTCCTATCCTCATTCTAAAATTATTTAACACCTTGTGTTTAGGTACAACAAAGCTGTAGCTATGTTAAACTATTCTGTTTTGTGAGATAAGTTTGTTATAAAAGACGCGTAGTGGTTTTAATGCATATTCAAAAAGCTATTATAATTAACATTTGTGCATGATATTCACGTGCCGTCCATCATCGCTTCATCTCGTTTTTAGACAAAGCGGTTTCAGCTGTCATAATAAACTTTTCTAATTCGTTAATAAATTATTGTATTACGTTAATAAACATATGTCTCACTTATAAATATATCTAATACAGTTATAGATATTTACAAACATGTAGAAGATATCTAAACATATGCATAAAGTTATTTCATACACTTATAAAATCTTTGAATACTTTCATTAAATGTGTAATACATTCAATAATTCTGATAATAGATGTTTGATTAACCCTTCTATTGCAATTAATCTTCCTTACTATTCATATTGCTTTATTCGTTGTCTTAATCATCTTTCAATTTTGTTGATTCTTACAATGTATTTATAATTATTCATTTCACCTTATTGTTCTACATCTATGTTTCTGCATTAATTGAATCCCTTTAGGGACACTTTGGTACAATAAATCCCGTTAGGAACACTTTAGGACAATAAATCCCTTTAGGAGCACTTTGGTACAATAAATCCCTTTAGGAACACTTTGGTACAATAAATCGCTGAATTATTTATCAATGTAACACTTAGTAATACACTTTGTTATTTACAGCACGAACAATTACAAATCATGTCTAAAATCTGTTGTAAACACGTAACTGTCAATGTCTCAGGGTACAGGGTCACGTGTTCCAGTCAGCATCTCAGGTACCTTTCACATTAAACTCATGGTTCAGGATTTTGTATGCCGGGGCCATAATTAAGGTAGCTATGATATATATTAAGTAAAATATACGTATACAACAGTCACAATATAAGTGTATCCACAAGCAATATGTGCACAAACATCCAGCGTAACTGACCCTTAAACAGATATCTTTCTTCCATAACCACTGATAGTAATTTGTCTTCAATCGTTCTTGGAGTCAGATTTGACCAGATGGACAGCTTGTATTTTTTCCCACTGTAGTTTGCAATCAGTGTTTATTGGTCAAATCAGAAGAAAAAGTGTTATTTGTCACTAGTTAAAACTCAAAAAGTGGTTCAGGAATGTTTATTTCATAAATAAAATGGTCTAGATATTGTACATATGAAACGCCAATATGAAGCAGAAATATATAATGAAACTCATTGATACTATTATGAAATCGATACGCAGGCAATTTTATAAAAGACAAATAACAAGTATCTAGCTGCACAAATTTCCTCATCCACAAACTAATTACTTAGAATAACATTCAGATTCTTGGAATTCACATTGGCCGACTTCAGGAAAATATTTAAGCTGTAAATTATTGTTAAGGTTTGGTGTAGGCATACTTAGCATACAAATTTTAAAATTGTCATTGTTCATTTCAGAGAGATGTTTTTGAAGATTGTATACGAATTCAAAAGGAATAAGGCAACATGCGTTATGCCTATACAAACCCTCTCCTGGTGTGGAGAAAGTACTTTAATATATTAAATGTGAAATGGTTTAAAAGCTTTCAACATCGAGAAATTATCGACCAGATCTCCCACACAACTGTCAATATGCACGTTCATGTTAAATGAAGATGACATATAACCAGTCTTAAGGCTGTTATTCAATCAACATAAACAAATGTAACCATAACAATTGAAAGGCCTAATTGATCATGCGTAAATATGTAATCAACACAATGCTTGGTGGCTCTTCCCTGATTCCTTGCATTATGTATATGTTTGTTAAAGATAAATCATGTTTGGGACAATTCCTGAACAGAAACCAATCATCCAATTGTAATTTGGAAATCTACATAATTAATTATGCGAAATAGGAACTCTTTACATATGTGATTTCATCTATATTGACAATACGAAATTTGGTTAGACCTTCGTCAGAGATTAAATGTCACCGGACCTCAAGGTCATCCATCTTGACATACATGATGATAACTATCTTACATAGTTATCATCATGTTTGTCAAGATGGATGTGCCATAGAGGTCCGGTGACATTTAGTCCCTGACAAAGGGTGACTTTGCAGTTTCTATGTATTGTGCATTTTCTTGTGATGTTGCTGAAGACTCTCTTTCTGCTGATAACTTTTCCCACAAATAAAACACATGTGCGGTTTTTCTCCCGTATGCATTAGAAGGTGCCGCCTAAGACTGGCTGAAAGACCGAATCCCTTTCCACATACGTTACACTTGTGCGGTTTCTCTCCAGTGTGCGTCTTGTTGTGGGTCTGAAGGTTAAACTTCTTGTTGAAGGATTTCCCGCATACTTCACACTTGAACTGTTTTATCCCGGTGTGAATTCTAAGATGTTTTCCGAGATAAGATGGCTGATCAAATCCTTTACCACATACATCACAAATACACGACTTCTCGCCGGAATTTTTATGGGTCATCATATGCTGCCGAAGGTTGCCAGTTTCATTGAACCCTTTACCGCAGATATCGCACTTATGCGGTTTCTCTCCCGTGTGCGTCCTTAGGTGCGACCGTAAGTTACCGGTCACACGAAAACCTTTACCACAGAAGTCACAGATATGTGGCTTATCTCCCCTATGCATCTTTTGATGCCTCTTCAGCTCGACCGTTAAGTCGAATTCAAGACCACATGTGTCACATTTATGTAATTTCTCGCCAATATGTTTCTTGCGGTGAGTAACCAGTGTGGACTTAAGGCTGAAGGTCTCGTCACATTCGTCACACTTGTACGGTTTCTCGCCCGAATGAACGCGAAGATGACTTGTTAAATTGTCCTCGCGCCTATATCCTTTACCACAAATGATACATGCAAACAACTTTTTTCTTGAATGTTTCATGAGGTTTCGACCGCTGCCTATATGAAATTCGGGATCCCCTGAATCCGTGTGACCTCTTGCATGAAAACTGTGCTGATCGTCTGCTCTGAACAAGGTCGTGAACTTTGCTACTGATCCAGAAGTAGCAGATATTTTGATGATACTGGGATTTACAGACATACACACCGAGCGTTCTCCATCCATCACTGAAAAATAGACAAACAAGAATGTAAGATACTACAAATATAATCAAATCTACCTGTGATACCACTTGTCTATAACTGTACCATACATAATAATACCGCCAAACCTACCCTTTGTCATCTCTCTTTAGCTTAACCCCTGCCTGAAGCATTTGTCCACCTTGCGGTACTTGGCATTTGCATATAACTATGACCAACCTTAAGGTACTTTCATCCCTACCTTTGATGTTTCCTGTCTTAAGCTTTCACCTACCTAAAACAAAGTTTAAACGTTCCTTTAATGCTATCAGTCTCAACTCTTCAGCTGTTGTCTTACTAGAGCCACGGTCACGCCTGCCTTTTATAACATCTGATTTAACTAACGCCTACTGTTAACTCTGCCTTAGAAAACAATTCTCTTTCACGACCGTTTACAGTTTCATCTACCTACTGTCAAATATGCCCTTGATACACTTGTATATAGCTATTATAAACTTGCATTTCATACCATTTCTCCTTAGCTACAGCATATCTTAACTGACTGCCATACCTGTATCTATCTTAAACTGCCGTCTACCGAAAGCTTCTGTAACGACATCTTTCTTTATCTAGCTTACCAACAATCTAGAATTACTGTCAATCCTGCCTTAGTTGACATATGTGCTTATTTAGCTTACCACCTGTCTAATATTACTGTCAAAATTACGCCTTACTTTACATCTGTCTTTATCTAGCCTACCGCCTGTCTAAAATTACTGTCGATTCTGCCTTAATAAATATATGTCTTTATTCAGCTTACCACATCCTAAACTTACTGTCACAATTCTGCCTTAAATGAGATATGTCTTTATCTCGCTTACTGCCGATCTAAAAATTACTGTCAATCCTGCCATAGATACTACCTGTATATAGCTCCTTCATGCTTATAACTACAGTAAAACCTATAATTGATTCATAGAAAATTAATGAAATAAGAAATACGTCAACTCCCTTTAATTTTGTCGGATTGAGACAATGCCTACCGTTGACCAGTTACTCCTTTGGTTAGAGTCATTGTATTGTGAGTGGACATCTAGGAATTACTGCTGTTGATGTTATTGTTCATTTCATCTTAATTATTTTCGTCATGAAACCTCCGAAAGGTATGATTTTTTATAGAAATAATTAATTTCCAGGCAAATCTAACTCATAGTTTCAGTTTTCGGCAGAAGTTCGGGGATCCTGAAGCATGCTTTTAATTATTATTTTGTTAATAATATATTAACGTGATTAGTGCAATTATTTTGAAAAAAGGTCTATCATCTAGTAGCGACTATCATTTAATTTAAAAATGCATGTCCTTGATATTGAGGTACTTATTTGCCATCATAATGCTAATAGCTTCACCCTATGTCCATATGATATTTCTCCTTATAATTCCAAGACTATATACTTTAATCAATATTGAGTCCCAGCTCTCTATATTGTTTCTCGAACGAAGGATTTCCAATATGTTTTACATTTTGCTTGCCAAGAGTTATTTGCTTAAGTAATATATTATCATTTCCTTACATAAGTTTTTCAGCCTGTTTTTAATGTATTCTTTTTGCAATATATTAACGTGCTTAGTGCAATTATTTTAAAAGGATCATTTAATTTAAATATTCATGTCTTTGTTTTTTAGGTACTTGTTTTATTTGTCATCATCATTCTAATACCTTCAATGTATGACCATTTAATTCTTCACTTTATTATTCCAAGACAATACTTTAATCAATAGTGAAGATGGGGTAGAGTATCAGTGCTCTATATTGTTTCTCGAACTTTACGCCGATCTTTACAAAAACACGGCTAACGAAGAAGGTTAATACTAAAGCTGTATGATGAGCATTGGCCAAATCGGGTTTCTGAGAGAGACATTTCCCTTCTGGATTAGCAACACCCACCTGCGTTCCAAATTATGGTGCTCGATTCGATATTCTCGTGCTTGCTCAGAATACCACAATTGCATGGTAGATGTCGAATGCTGACGGAGTAACGTACCATACATGGCTTCAGAAGATGCAGGGCAATAAACTGATGAAGGTTCTGAGCAATTTGTATGGTCATCATCATAATCTCATTGTGAAATAATCATTTTCGTTCTACAAAAGAACGAATATCGAGTTGTTGTTTCTTTTTAAATTGCTTACTAATGTTTCTTGTGGTTTCATTTTCAGTATCTATTTTTAAAATAACAGAAGACATCTTATTTCCTTTCGGAATAGTTGGCCTTATCCTCATTGTACTTCTTCATTGCCTTTCTAATAAGCCTTTCGTTTGTACATATTTTGCCCCTTTTCCTCTTCATAGTTTGTTACTATTTCGATGTATCATTGATTTTGTTTCGTACTGACTTGTAAATTATTAACATTTGCACCAATCATAACCTTCACATATGATCTTAGTAGTAGCGAGGACACAAATCCCCAATCAAACAAAAACAAATCAAATGATACAATTGATATTCTCGGCACGTTTATTCTGTGTTATAGGTTTGGTAAGTTCAATATGAATGCACACTTATATCTGCTTATTACACGTTATTTACAAACTAATGATCCCGAGTTATTTACATTCTGCTCTTTCTGCAACAAGCTTCACATATATAAGCAATATCATACATACCTTTAAATGATAAAATTAATAGGACACTAATGAGGTTCTTTGCTGAATATATTTATTAACCAGAAGAACGATATCGACCGAGGTCCGATAAAAACATGGATCAAACGAACAACTGACATCAACGCACAGTAATGTATCGCATTGCATTAGCGTCCAAACTTAATATAAAGTATCCACTTTTTGTGACTACTTTCAATATGAGGACTTTTTTTTAATAAAATAAAATAAAATAATTGTACAGCCCACAGTCAAAACACGTGAAATTATAGACTAGAAATGTAATAATAGAATCCAGGGAAATACAAGAAAAATGCTCAATACTTTTAGTTTTCCTATTTACAATGAAACAGATACTCTCAGATTTGATTACTGACCTGGATGTTATAACGGTGAACCATCTTAAGAAAGCCTTACTAAATATGTTTTGTTTTGTCATTTAAAATTTTTTCCCAGGTATAGAAATGTCCATAGAGCACTAGGGATTGTATGACTGGCCGTCAGCAGACGTAAACTTAAACCTTTCTTTAAAAGGTAAGGGCTAGAAAAACAATTAACTTGTGTAGGAATAATATATAAATAAGAAGTATAGTTTCTGATTATGCTCATTAAAGTTTGTTTGCGAGTTCTCGGTCTGAGTACGTGACATTTCTTGGATCCGACTTAGATTTACACGGCGGGTGTCATCGATGAAGCAATAGACGCTTACACTCCCGGAGCATCTGGTCTTATTCTTCTTGTACGTTCCTCTGTTCCCTTTTTTCCTTATTTGTACCGTTTTTGTGTCCGAATTATTGGTTTTTTTAAAATTGAAATTCGCTTGTTTGTTGTAATGGGGAAGGGTAAAGGTTATAAAAAGAGCGACGTAACATGTTTATGGATAGACTCACCTTCCTGTGATGTCACAGTCATTAACACGGGAGTTTTTTGTCTTCATTTTTCACCCCAAGTTAAGAATACTTTTGTGCGTATTTCGAAATTTTTAATTTTTAATATGCAAATTTTAAAGCTCGTACATTTTTAGTCAAATTTAAAAAAAAATATTGTTGATCATCATTTACATCATTTAAGGTATTATTATTTTCCGGACAATCTACACAAACTGTAATTTTTCCTATGATATCTTCAATGGTTGAATGTACTAAATATTAATGCGTATATCGTCTGTATCCTCAATATGCATTTACAATTTATTAATGAGGAAGGACTAGTTTTTGCGTCTGAAATATAAGGCACATTTATCTCGACTCAAGGTACTTTAGACTGAGGTTCAATGTGTCATACTCTCGTTTCAAATGATTGAAACACCCCCGAGGGAGGACTCAAAACATATAATTGGAAGTAATTGTCATTGTCCTGGATACCTACAACGAATATAAATCACATATAACAAAACAGATTTATTAAAGACCGCTGGAATATTCAAAATGCTTTTTGGAATAAATATCTGATGAAGGAATTTAATTCAGTAATAGTAAGGTAGATATGCGGTGTATTTACTGTTCTTGTTACTTTGACTTTTTCATCATTTAAAGAATGAAAATTGGCGTGTCATACTTAAATCATTAAGAAATTGACATTGACCATAACACGATGAGACAAAAACTAAACCATGGTGTTTTTATAAACGACGATTGTATAATGAAAATTATAAACTCATAAAGAAAGAAATCGTTCGAGTAATGGAAAAAAATGTCTTTACAGAAATGGTAACCTTGACATTTGAAGCCGGACAAAATAACTCGATCAAGCAGAGACGTTTTATATACTAGACTCTTACTTGATCTATGATCAAATTTGATGTAAATCCTTGAAGAAAAGTAATAATAAATAGCGACATTGACCTTGGCGCCTTGAAACACTAAAAAAGGTTTTCCTATTTAGACGAAGTTAACTTACGATCCACAAGCAATATTAACAAGTTACAGGACCATATGTAAATTGGTAGCAAAATAATAAATGACTTTAGCAAATTAAATATTTAATAGTTCTTTGCTACAATAAAATATATTTGCTGATTTAATGAAAGTTACAAAATATAACATCCATTCCAAATACTGCCTTGTTTGTATCCCGAATCTGTTGTTACGTGTATAGCTTCACTCCCGGATGCTGACAAAGCACTCGACTAATGAACAGACGTCAATGAGCTGTCATTGAAATCGAAACTGGGTTGGGCGACCTCCGGAGAACAGGTAGCGAAGATGGTTAAAGTGTTTGCGTAGAGTTTGTAGGTCCTGTATTATACCCTTAAGTAGTGTATGTTGGCTTGAAAGGCGGATACGCGAACATGGGTTGGCAATAATGTTGGCATCGATGACTTCGTTATATAGAGAGGGAAATGTTCTAGCGGCATTGATCCAGGTGTTTGCTGGTGACCA